TTTCGTTCTCAATCATGTGGGGGGTAGCCTGCATGACAGGCGCTTTATGAGCCAAGCGGGACGAACGCGATATTCCGCTTGGCTCATAAAGCACCTGTCATCCAGGCTATGTGGGGGGCTATTGTGGTGGGTACAGGATTAACGGGGTCGAATTTCACACTTACTTAATTGCGGGGCGGTGTTTGTTGATTTGCGCCGTTGGCACTTCGGTTGCTTGAATTGAAAAGACATCACATTCTGCTCTCGAAGTAAGCGATGGGGCTAAAATTCACAATTACAGGGCTTCTCTTCCAGGCCTTGCTAATAATACTCTTTGCAGTCCTTGTGGATTATTCCGACCATGCTTTACCATCGCATTCTCGAAAAGGAGCCTCAGGAGATGTGAACGTTACGACCGAGACACTCACTGTGAACGATGTATCTGTCTACTATCCAAGTAAGATTGTGTGTTTTACTTGTAATAGTTGCTTTATTCGCTTGCGGATTCGAAGTATACCTACATCTCCGGGGTTTTATTTTGAATATTAGAAATACTCGAGATATACTTTGTGATATATTTACATGCAATGTCATCAAAAATACTTACGTTACACTCTGATCGGCTAGTAATGCAAGACGCCTGTTCGTATTGAGGTAATTCTCAAGCCTCCGCTCTTGTCAGGTCCATAGCACGTTTTGTTGAAAAGATTATTTACATAAAATAGAATTCCTGTCAATGATGAATTCTTCAAGGGCAGAGGTGAGAGATTGTTTACCCATCTTGACATATGCAACAAAGAGCTTGGGGAAGTTATCATGGAATATATGAAACTCATATATGTGAACCGCGGAGTGAAGAAGGATTATACGAAGGAAGATCATCGCAGTTATATACGCAACTTTTGCGGTTACGAAAAGCTAGCCAGAAAAAAAAAATCAGGCTTGTATGGGATTCGAACCCTTGACCTGTGCGATACCGATGCAGCGCTCTACCAATTTTCAAAGCTAACAAGCCAACTGGGAGCAGGTCGTTGAATTAGCTTAGACGTTTATAACAAGAGAAAAAAGTTTACATGCCTTTGATTGAAAAGTTGTAACAAGCATGCTTGAAGACTATTTTGACTCTTCATGCGCCAAGAAACTATTTACTACTGTCGACCATCACAATGAATGAATTGATATCGAATGACAGTTGGGGTGGGTGCCGCGCGTGTCCATAAGAAATAAAGGGGATTATTTTTGTTATTATTACACTTTTTTTGGTTGTCGCTTTTATATTAAAACTGCCTACGTCCACACCTACAACCGTTAAGACTAGTTAACAAAAATTTGTAAAGATTAGTCTCATTTCATGCAACAAAATCTCAGATCACATTTTGATCACACCAAATTACACGCCCCCACCCCGCCTTTCTCCGTCACCCCACGTGTCTCACATTCAACAATACCCTTGATAACCACAGTTCACTTAATATTCTGACCTTTCAAATATCTTAAGGATCACTATTACATTGCACCGATCCTTAAATCCCAGTTACCTGCGGTAGCTAACATTTAAACTTGTTATCATGGTCAAACGTAAATTTCCAAGCGTCAGTCAGGAATTATCGAGCACTTGAAATGTCTGACATTTGCCTGAACAGTTCAATTGCCCCGATATTGATTAGCATTGCGTGAGATTCTTGCCTCCCTAACAATTTGCATCTAAATTGTTTTTAAAATCGCAAACATTCTATTTACATAGTTGAGTATTTACATCGAGTAAGCACCCGAAAAGAGAAAGCGTGTGCCAACAGCTTTGACTATACTATGATCCACTTTCGCATTGTCTGAAATGCACCTTATTTATTTTTGCCCCCCAGAATTTTTTATAACTATTGTTTTCATATTTCTCCTGGGTATTACAGTTGTCTTACGAGAAATTAAAAACAATACTTATGCAAAATTCTGGAGGGCAAACAAGGTGTATTATGGGCAATGTGGTAGTGGCGGTACGTAAACAAATTTTTTTCCGCCTCGAAGTCCACGGGTGTCCAAGATTTCTGATTCAAGATGGCGGACGATTCGCTGCATTCCTCTGTGCGTGAGCCGCTTACTGTCGAAACCACTACCTGTAGGCCAACATGCAGACGCCCAGTCAACGGCACCCAGATAAAATTCACATTTGTTAGTTTGGTTTTTCAGTTTAGCCTTATTGTAATGTTTATGGTGCTAGTCGACTATGGTGAACAATCCCTTCCATCTCCAATCGGCCAGCGCCCGATGGCTAAAAGCGACAAAAGTGCAGGAAACAGAGACGAAAACGAACGGGCCTTCAATGACATATCGATCTATTATCCAAGTAAGTGTCTCAGATCATGTCAGGCAGTGTTTTTATTTCAAGTATGTTTCGGTGCTGCAGACCCTGACTCCATTTACCCTGGCTCCGACCAGCGGTCCGTTCTCAAAATACCTAGGATCGGATAGTCCTTGCTCTAAAACGTTTTCGCTGCTTGCGACCCATCAGAAATTAGGAAAGAATAGAAAACCTCCGCCACGAGGGTAAGCTGAAAACCTCTAGCTGTTATCCAGTTATATTGTTAAGTACAAAAACATAACTAAATCGATAATTGTGTCTTGAACTTGTATGAACATCGCACTGCAGTGAAAAAAGAGCCAGAAAAAAACGAATTAAATCGGCAATTGCCGAGGCTGTGTACGCCAATCACCAGCACGACTGCTTAAGCCTTAATATTTTGAAGTTATCAAATTAATTTATACAAGTCCAACGACGCTACTCAGGTTGTTGTTCTACTGTAGTTCCACAAGACTGATTACCACACTTCAGTAATTTTGGGAAGAAATGGGAAACAGACATGGAAGTTTAATCATTAAAAAGCTCAAAATGAGAAACAGGAAATACAATTAACTGGAAGAAAACTAAATAAAATAAAGCGTTGAAGTCGTTTAAGTGTTTAGGTAGCCACGTGGATCGAGGTGTTCATATGTCTTGAACGACATTCATGATGAAAATTCTGGCGACCTGATTGGTTGAAAAGTTCATTTCCATAAAGTCATCACTCCATCAACACGCCACGCAACATACATGTCTGAAATTTGGATTATCGATCCTTTGACTGAATAGGCATGTCAATCAGAATTTTTTCGAAGTTTGCTGGTTAATTCATAAGGAAGACAATATACTGTAATTTTTAATCAGAAACTACCCAAAGAAACATATAGTACAGCAGCAAAATCACTAACATGCGCACTCAAGTTGGTCATGTGGCACGCCGTCGTTGGAAAATCGACAAATAAACCTACTTGCCAAAACGTTAATTTACAAATGTAGTAAAACTTCCAACCTTAAGAAAAATTGGAATTTTTAAGGTTAAGAGACTTAGTAGACAGACCGGTCAAGGCCGGGGTCGAAAACACATCAACGTCCTTACGAACAGGGGACACACAGGCAACTGCACACAAACGAGGGGTTGGATGAGGCGGGGGGTGTAACCATCTACCGAATCAATTTTCCACTTGTTACATCATCCAGCAATTCTACCACAGAAACGAACAAATCCTTCTTAAAAAAAGTTCTTTACTACCACCATTTTTTGGTTTCCTCAATTTGTATTTTCATTCAACTTATATTACATTCATTTCTAGATTTACTGTGTTGGTTCATTCTTGAAAACGTACAATTTTCGTGCAGGCTGAATTCAGTCACAAGGAAAACGTTGCAATGGTCGTTTTTTCAAGAAAAATAAATAAATAAAATAAGAGGAACATTTCTGAATTTGCCCTTTAACGTCAGTACTTTTGGCATCTCCATCAGACGATTTCCTTTCTTTTCGCGCCATTTTTTCTGCAGTTGTGCGTAACTATATCTATGGTCTCCTCTGTTAGGTCTGTTAGCAATGCAATAAATAAAATTGTATTGTTATGTATTGTATTTACAGTTCCTTTGTAGTCTATACAAAGGTTGAATGTCAAACAAGCATAGCTCACGTCTTTGATGTCGAATTTCGTTTCCCAAGCCATTAAAAAAGGGCGAAAAATACTTTCCTGACCTCCTCAAATAAACAACTATTCCGTTTCGTGGAAATATATTACACTCTTTGCTTTCTTTCGAGTTATGACGAATGAATATTTTTCCGCATTAAGTTTTACTTTTAGTTTAATTTGCATCACGGTTTTAACCCACTGGGTTAACTTTTTCAAGAGATCTTTTGATTCTTATAAAGTGATAAAAGAAAGAGCAAAACATATACAGCACGTTTTTTAAATATTTTATTCATTTATGTATTTTTTTTTTAATTTTATCATGATTTACTATACCATTTGCCACTACATTTTTCTGTTGAGTACTATGACTAGTATTGCTTTAGGTTAGTTATCATTTAATTCTTTGTGCTCAAAACAATAGTGTCTGAAAGTTCGGAGTTCAAACAAACGAAGGTCTTGCATTTATTGGGCAATCAAGACAAGTAGAATAGAAATTGGAAATCTCGTTGAATCCATTCAAATTATGCAATCTGAACTAAATTCAATGAACGAATTGAATTGAATTTAAATTTGTACATTGCGTAAGTACAGAATCCCCTATTTGGCACCTCAAGGGCTCTTGTGTAGCATATAGACTGCCTGCAGTCCACCTTTTCTCTTAAAATCCGTCCACTTCTTATCTGAGCCAGCAAGATTGCAAACGACGACGTTATACAATGAGAGATTAGGACGAGACGAGACGCCCTCGTTTATCGCGGCTCGCGTGCATGGATTATCCGTGGAGTAACTTCGTTACGAAATACGATGCATTTACAATAGACTTTTGCTTTGAACAATGGCACAGATGTTAACCATATTAACAAAGCTAATGACAGATGTCTAGCCAATAGCAATTCGTTTCAAACATGCCGATCCATAAATAAATACAAGGTCGGTGAAAAGAAAACTAGCCATTGCTAAAACCCACCAGCCAAGTCGTCGAAGCTACTGTGGCCATTTTCTATCTGGGTGTAACCAAAAATACTCGACTTTGAGCTATGAAGTTTTGTATAGTCGCAGCTTTATTTCAAATCTTGATAATCATCCTCTACGGCGCATTGGTGGAGTATGGTGATCATGCTTTGCCCCCTCATAAACGCAAAGGGGCTAATCAAAACGCATCAGCGTCTAATCCCAGCTTGGAAGTCAACGATGTGACGGTTTATTACCCGAGTAAGTAGCTTATCGCTTAATAGTATTTTTCACTTTCGTTAAACTTTGTTGTTGCAAAAGCAGTATTGAATTGTATATATCACATGAGCAGAAGAATACCTCCTTTTTTTGAACTTTGATAAAGGTCCTTGAAATAAACTTTAGGACAAATTAGCTTAGCTTACAGATCTCTTGCAAGCCTATGTGGTTATGTCAAATTACTTTCAATTCTATGAGCAGTTAGCAAACTTCCTCTAAGAAAAACAACATATTTCGCTTGCCCGTGCTGTTTACTCTTAAGGATTAAAAGCTCGGAAAAATGCTCGGAAACTAAGTCAAAGGTCAAACAACCTGTGGCGAGTTGAAATACTTGCCTTATCCGACTTCTTGAGTCACTCCCGCTATTCATCGCGCTCTCTTTGAAAGTATAAGCGAAGACGATAGGAGACGTTCAGCTCAAGCAGAAAGAGTCAGGAAAGTGTGACTCAACTGACCAAGATGGAAATACATACTCGAACCACGACTAAACCGCTTATTTTGCTCACAACTTGATCTAGTGGCGAAATTCCTCGTTTAGTTGATATCGATACTCGTGATACCTGCAATGTTAACAACTTATTTATTTATTTATTTCTCGCTTAAGAATGATGCGTTAATTTTGATTTAGTGAAAAAGAAAGTATTCTTAATTAATTGCAGCGAATTAACATACAAACTTAACGAAATGGGAACGGTCGGAGGTGTGTCTCTGAAGGGCCTGTACAAGTGTGCTCGAGAGTCCGGGCTGGCTTTTGATGACAGATCCAGCCCGGTTGTGGTTTGTATGAGAAAATTCATCCCATATGTTAGCCAGAATAAAGTTGATTACGTGATAGTGTGCACGATAGTATATAGAAAACACTTTCTTTTCTTGCAGTTATAAAATTTTCTAATATTCGATATCCAGAAACAATTTTTCGCCACTTTCTTTCAACATAGTTGTACGTTGTCCGGATAAACCACTCCGCAAGTTCGCCTTTTTCTCCTCGTTGGTGCCTTCTCGTAAAAATACACCAAAAATCTGCAAAACAAATCAAACACATTTAGCCCTTTGTAATCTTAATCAAATCTAGTATTCTTCTCAGGATGTGGTTAATTTAAAAAATTCTTTATCGCCAGTAGGGATAGTTCAGAAGGCAATGACACGCAACAATTGATAGAATTCTTTTTCCTTTAAAAGGGCAGTATGGTGGGAGTTTGAAGACGTATTCTGCATTTTGAAATCAATAGCCCGCGACCATTGTTATATGCCTTGTTTATATGCACTAATTTCGCAATGAATATGAAATAGCGGTCTTTTGTTGTTAAAGAAAGAAATATTATCAGGGGCGCTGGCGGAATTTAAAAAATCAAGCTTGGTAGGGTCACATTCCACTCTTCTTCTTGATGACAGTTACGCCACTTGAATGGTCTTCCTTCACACTACACCGTGTTTACAGGGCTTCGAACTCACTGGCATTGGATTGCCAACACTTTGAATTAAACAATTACCTTCGAGCTCGTTTTTGACTGACCTACGAACGTAGAAAGTCAGTTTCCTTTTTTGTAGAACTGGCTCTGATTGGCCGATTAATTTGAAGTGACCCGTTTGAGATTCTTGCATTGTTTTTCTTTTGTTTTGTGTAGTTTTGTTTTTACGTTTTTTTAAAATATTTTTCGAAGCATTGCAAGCGGTTGAAAAGGCATCCTTATAAGCAATTCATAACTATGATTTAAGCTAACAGCGGTCCCTTTCTGGTCCGAGCAAGATTGTACTGTTCCCTTTTCGGACAACTTCGTTAACACGACCAGATATAAAGGTTCGTGGCCTATACCTGTTTTTTTTTTTTTATGAACGCGGTTTTACTGGGACAGTGGGCGGTCGTAGAGTAATGCGGTGGCCAATTCCTCATGGCTGGATTTGGCTGAATTCCGCGACATGGCTCATTAAATTTTTCTTTGTTCTTCCAGTGTTCCAAGATGTCCATGTTATGATCTACATCGGTTTCGGATTTCTGATGACCTTCCTAAAGAAGTATGGCTATGGAGCTGTTGGGTACAACTTCTTTATCGCTGCTCTTATTACACAGTGGGGAACCATTATATCAGGCTGCTTCAATCAGATTTACGCCGAGGGACACAGCCATATTGAACTTAGCATTCAATCGTGAGTATTTTTATTTTGGTTTTTCGCATCCTTCAACTACTCGAAAGTGTTGCAGCGTGTCTGGCTTTTAGCCTAGTTTCATTTTGTTTTGTTTTGTTTTTGTTAGTTTGTTTGTTTTCAGTAAGTGACATCAGGGGCACCCAACGAGAATATACTTCAAAACCACTTAAACATAGCATTGTTAAACGTATTATAGTATTTAAAAAGTAGATACAGTGATCTGAAAATTACAGGGATCAAGACTTACCTTTCCGAAAATTTCAGCCAGAAAAAAGGCTCCCGAAAATTCTAGGTGACCTTTTTAGGGTAAATCCGTTAAAAATGGGCAATTATACCATTTTTTAGATGTTCGAAAATCCTAGGAGAGGCAGGCAAGCAAGAAATTTTACAACAAATTTTCTGAAAATTCTAGATCTCAAATCGTCTTCCGAACACATATTTCCCGAAAATTGACGTTGGGTGCCCCTGTGACATAGGCGGCTCGGAAGAAAACATCCGAGTAATCCTAACATACAGGGCCGGGTTGTTCAAAGCTGGGTTGAGATAACCCAGGGTTAGTGCGAAATTTGAATTCAGATATGAAGGCTTAAAAAGTTAATTCAGTTTAATTCTTTTTGTCAACAAGTTGATGATTGGATGCTCTTAATATAACAGACCAAAATACCCGAGAAAATACTTTTGAACAAAAGAAAAAGAAACCCGAGTTAAATTTAACACTGGGTTGAGCACTAATCGGCCTTCGAACAACTGGGCTCACAAGTCGAACCTATGACCGTCTCTGGTTACTAGTCCAGAGGCGCTACCACTAAGCTGTACAGGAAACTCGTAGGAGCAATGACACTAAACTAGGTTGATGTGGAATCCTGCATTCTGCAAGACTGGGCTCAATTTCCAGCCGCTGTTCGAGAAATGAGCCCGCGTTCCTCCCCCGAACAGGCTCTTCAAATCCAGCCTATGCTGGGACTGAAATGTCGATATGCGCGTATTCTCAAAGATAGAAAGTTGATGGTGAGTTTCATTAAGTCTAGTGAGGAATTTGTTTTACTCATTGATAATAGAGACCTTTAGTTTCGTGGATGAAACATGTTGGAGGAAGGCTTATCAGAACATGACCACATTACGGTGAATACCACAATATATTGTGTAACAATTAAAAGGAACAGATAGATAACCGAAAGTTTATTCATGAGCCGACGACAATCGTGTTACATAAACTATCGTGTAAGCCGTGAAAAAAGTACTCAGCCGACTGCAAATAAAAGATCATCGATGAAAACAACAATTTTTGTTTTGCAACACAGATTATCAGTAAAATGACTGATAGCTCGCTCAACAGAACAGTGTTACTTTTTAATAACTCACCAATCTTAATCGGAGCCCCCGGAACAAAAGACCTCGAGAAGCCACCCCCACCCCCTCGGAAATCGCCTCCTTTTGGACCCCCGTGGAGGAGGGAGTAGGGATTTTTTCTGGAACTACACGTTATCAAGAAAGAGTAGCCTGCGAATACAGCTATTTCTCCTTATTCCTCGCTGCTTGGGTTTGTTCGCCAGGAGTAACGCCGTCCCTCCAGTCAAAACGTCCCTATAACGGCAAGGAGCAAGGAGCAAGGAGCGACGGCTGTACACGGCGACGGCAACGGCAACGAGAACGGCTGTTCACGGCGACGGCAACGGCAACGAGAACGGCAAAAAAGCAATTGGTTTAATTAGTAAAACAACAACTTTGCACTTTTTTGTACATTTCTTTGACGTCACTGCACGATTACGACGTGAAAATGCCTAATTTCACCTTTTATGGGCCTTCAATGAAAGACGTAGACAAGCGACGAAGAATTTTTCTTTCTCAGTCTTTCTAAACTTGAGTGCGGTCCCCAAGAAATCAACTCCAGGGAAATAGACCAACATTTGACATTTTCGGTGAATTGGAATTAACGCGACAAGGCTTTAAAACAAAGCGAATTCATTGGCGTTTTTTGCTGCCTTCACCGTCGTCGATGCTAAAACTCCTTGTCTCGGTAAAAACCGTATTAGAATGACGATGACGGCAATTGTGTTTTTCCGCCAAAATTGCGCTGGCTGGCTCACGCGCGCGAACTACTTAGTGCTGAGCAAATCTCGTTCTTATTGTCGTCCTCGTCTTAGAATCTAAAGGTCTCTAACATTTCCTGTTTCTTGCAGTTTGGTCACCGCAGAATTTGCCGCCGCTACAGTTCTGATCACCTATGGAGCTGTTTTGGGAAAAGTTAGCCGTCTACAATTGTTAGTCATCGGTGTGCTCGAGATTATCTTCTACGCCATCAACGAATTAATTGCTGTCGAGTTTCTGAAGTTTTCCGACGCTGGTGGTTCCATTATTATCCACGCTTTTGGGGCTTATTTCGGACTGGCTTTGTCTCGAACTCTTTATACCAAGAAAGCTTTGGACAGTCCTAAAGAGGGATCAAACTACCATTCCGATTTGTTTGCCATGATTGGTGAGTTCTTGATCACAAATTTTTGATCCTTATTCAGAAGGAAAGCCTTAATCCGATAATTAACAAGGAGCAATTTTGTTACATGCGTGAACTGATAAAAAAAGGGGTTATAGAAAAGGAGCATGAAAAGAATCAATGTAAAGAAAGTTTATCTTAGTTTTGCGTACATCCACCATAGCATTTTGTCCATAAGCCGAAAAGTTGGAACAGCGTAAAAACATTCACCAGTTTCAGTAAAGATCAAAGTTGATCGTCATGTCTTTGAGCTTATAAGCTTTTCACTATCCTTACTACCCTTGCTATTTGACAAGTGCGCATGCATTCTTAGTCCATATGATAGATCAGACGTGTCTACTGAAGAACGACATTTTTTACGTTAACAAACGTACCTACCTACATTGTTTGCGAGTAAACGAAAACAGTAAATGTATGCATTTAAGTTTGGCCCCAGTCAATGCGTATCATTCTAGGCACTGCGCACACAATCTGTATCTGCGCTTTGGTCAGAATAACCACTCCCCCTAAGCTTATAAGGCTACGGTTGATTTATATATACTGGTATAGCTGGCCGGAGATCAGCGTGGGTTTGTAGTTTTTGGCGGGGAGATTATGCGCGAAGCTAGAAGCGAAGCCGCGTGGAAAAAACTCCGTCATCATTCTTCTCGCGGCTTACTCGTCAAATTAAACCCTTGAATGAAGAAATAGCGCGCGATAAATCCCGCTAGCTACGCAGGCAAGCTGATTTCTAATCACTCTCTGGGGAACTGTACTTCTGCGGGTATATATTGATGTGTCTTTGCCAACAGGTACCGTTTTCCTCTGGATGTACTGGCCCAGCTTTAATGCGGCCCTTGTTGCTCCTGATTATGTTGCCCAGCATCGATCTGTTATCAACACCTACTTTTCACTGGCTGCCGCTTGCGTCACGACTTTCGCTCTCTCACCAGTCTTTCAGCGAGAAGGTGGCAAGTGGAGATTGAGTATGGTGAGAACATTACTAACTTTCCGTTTTTATTTTATTGGGGGGGGGGGGTGGGGGTAAGGTTAGGGTTAGAGGGGCAAGAATGGTACAGTAGAGAGAGCACAGGCTAACCTGTCTTATTGCCAAGAATGTCGCTGCTCGAATGCAAAATTCAAGATTAGCAAAAATGTTTAGAGACACTTAACAGATGGGAAAACCATGTGCAAGAAGGAAACTACAGAAATACATGAGGATTTACTGTAATTTTCAGCCATGGAATATGATTCAGAGACTTGCAAGTTGCACTGAAATGCATTTAAAAAAGAAGGTATTAGCTAATTGTTCGATTATGTTTTTCAAAGGTCCACGTGCAAAATGCGACCCTCGCCGGAGGCGTTGCCATCGGAACCGCATCTAACATGTCAATCAGCCCTTGGGGAGCTCTTCTGATTGGCTGCTGTGCCGGCGCACTGAGCACCGTGGGATACGCCTATGTAACTGTAAGTAAACAAGGTCTTTCTCCAAAGAACGTGTTTGATAACTACAAACCACACTGGTTGCCTTTCTAGCCACCATGGCCACGAACTTAAGTGTTATCCATTAAGTGACTCTTCCGTAACGGATACATTGCCTGTATTGTTGTACAACTCACCCCGTGGACCGGCCATTTTAAGACTTCAAACGGTGTATTAGAATTTGTGGGGTGGCACGCCACCGAGCGCCAATGCCGCGAAAGGCTAGAAGTAAGGGTGCCTCTTCTATTTGCGCCCTTAATCATTTGCGTAGCCATTATTTTTCCTCTTGCCCGTTTTGCTCCATCGTATTCTTTAAAGTTTTATCTGCAGTGGTTCGACTTAAAAGTATGCAAAATTTATGATTCATTTCTCAGCCATTCCTGACGAAGTACACCAAGACCCATGACACCTGTGGTGTGAACAACTTGCACGGAATGCCGGGAATCCTCGGTGCCATCGCAGGCGCAATAGCCGCTGCAAATGCAAACGCTGACAAATACGGATATGATGGGTAAGATGATGCTTGTTTTTATGCTAATACTGTGTTCCATTGGATAGTTAGAGAATATCCCTTTCAAGGTTGTTGTTGTTATAATTATTATTATTATTGTTATTATTATAATTTTTTTTTCAACTTTTGATAAAGAAAAGTAAGCGAATATCCATCGATACTGCCGGAAAGTCAAGGAGGGTATTAGAATAATGTAGCTTACCAAGTTTAAGGCGATTTGTCCAAAGAGAGCAAAGATGTTGCTTCCCAAAGTCGCGAAGTTTTACAGACGCCTAGTATGGTGGCGGGGCGGGGCAGGGCGGGGGGACGCACGAACTTGTGCTCCACCTTACAAATGTCTGTAAAATTCTGCCACTTTGTGGAACTATATGTTCGTTAGTTTTCAACAAAAAGTTTTCGAACTTGGCAACTTTACTGGTTTTAAGGCGTTCTTACCAGCTGGTCGCACTCATAAGCTGAAAAAGACTATGGAGAAGGGTCTATTGGAAATACAGTCAACTCCCTCTAAGACGGACACCTTTGGGACCGGCAGTAAGTGTCCGTCTTAGAGAGATGTCCGTCTTATAGAGAGTCAAATAAAGGGAGTAAAGAAACGCAGGGACCAACTCTAGGTGTCCGCCTTATAGAGGTGTCTGTTAAGAGAGAGTCGACTGTAACCATTCTTCCGAATTAGACAAACTAAAGTTTGACCAAACTGGATTCCACTCAGCCCTTTCACCATTATTAACTGGATATTGTTGTGTTGACAATTTTCAGCATGTACAATATTTGGCCTGGGATGGCTCCTGAGAAGAATTCAACAGAGCATCTTAAGCTGATGAACTTGGGTGTGACTGTCAGTGGAGACGGTCGATCTGCAAAGGCCCAGGCTGGTTACCAGATCGCTGGTCTCGCGGTCGCTCTTGGCATCGCTGTCATCGGTGGAATCGTGACTGGTAAAATCTTTGTTGTAGTACAGTCAAACCTGTAATAAGCGGTCACCCTTTAGGATTGGCTTACTGACCGTTATATACGGGGGTACTAACCATTAACTTGGGAAAACGGGAAATCCTGGTTGGAAAATCAAGTGGTTCTTTCTATTCCATTTTACCCTGGGTACCAGAGGTTTTTTCTCGCGTGCGACGGGGAGCTTCGTTTCGTCGGCCGCAGGCCGAAGACACAAGCGGCGAAGCCGCGAGAAGGGTCACTTTTTAAGACTTGACCGAAGCAGGAAACCGCGCATGAAAAGCCTCTGGCACCCAAGGTAATTCCATTTAAGAACCTTCAGAAAATATGGGCTGCGATTTGCAGTGATAAAATGTTTCTACTCTTGTTCAGCTGATTTTGATACACTCCCTAGCAGTTCGTTCTCTAGTCTGCTACACAGTCGCTTTTATTGAGGAGGAGCGTTGCGTGACGACACTAAAAACGGCTGTGTAGCAGACTAGTGGTCGTCCCAACACGTCAAATTTTATGGTTTTATGTTTATGCACAAGATTTCTACCCAGGTGGTTTGTGTAAATGATAGAACCTCAGGTTGATCGTTATACTACAGGTTTGACAAAAGTGGGGGTTATTCAAGAAATGAAGGTAGTCAAAGAGTGGATTGAAATATCTATCCCACGATAAACTGACGTCCACCTGTTTCTACCTCTTCTTGGGCCAAAAGGAAAAAAAGTTAACGGCCACTTGACGCCATACCCAGTGCGACTTGTTGCACTAGACCGTTTGATAGAGGTGAAGAGAATAAAAAATAATTCGTTGGAACTTCGGAAAAGGAAAACGGCAAACGTGAATTTTGTATCATGCGACCAAGTTTTCCCCTCTCTGGTCGTTTACCGTTCATTACCTCTACAAAAAGGTTATTTGTTTCACGCCAGTCTTATCCCTAAGAATTGTTTTGAACTATCCTGTCTGCGTATTTTCTATTTTTAGAAATTCTCAACTTGAGTCTGACGTTTACCGTAAACGTGACTCTAATTATCTCTACTGACCAAGCGTGAGGTCAAGATGATGGGATATCCAGCTATCTTGACCGAACAAGCTTGGTCAATAAGGGATTTATTATATGGCCATAAGGAAAACGTTTTCTTACGGGACGTGGGGCCAACGCGGGAAATTCCGCGCGGACAAGATGGACCCATCTTGCCCGCTTGTGTAGCCAATCAGAACGCAGGATTCGCTTCATCTTGTCCTCTCGCGGATTTAGCCATATAATAAATATACATTTTTGACCAAGCGTGAGGTCAAGATGGCTGGATATTGGTCAGGCTCTTTTCGTCTCAGTCCATAAAAACTCAAAAAAAGAACGATTTAAATGATTTATTGTATGATAAAAAAGAAAACGTTTCCTTGCGGGACCATCGCTGAAAATCCCGAGCATTTAAGATGGGCCCATCTTGCTGCCTCGCGGATTCTGTCATACAATAATACAGCTCAAAACAAGTAAAAAGGAAAAGTTGCACGTAAATTGTCCGTAGGATCTTATCCATAAACTACAAGGATAAAAGCAACCTCTTTACCTTACAACACACAAGACTGAAAGGAAAATTGTTCTTTAGCTTTCATGGTTCCACTTACAGAAAAGTACTGCTCGTGAGTTTTAAGGAGAATAATCTCACCTATAAAATGTTTTGCCCATATACTCAAGATTTAGAGAACTGAAGATAACTGTTCAATTGCATTTGAATGGACGCATACATTTTTCCTCAGGGTGAAAACTACGAACTCAGATGGGACACAGTATTTATCGTACACATCAATGCTGTTGTTGTTTTGTTTTTTCACCGTTTTGTCGTCTCCTTGTAGGTTTTATTGTGAGGTTGAAGATCTTTGATCCGCCCACCAAGGAGCAGATGTATGATGATGAAGATTTCTGGGAGGTAAGATCTCAATTGCATTTTACAGGTTTGAACGTTCGATGTCAACGTGACATTCAAAACCTAGCACCACCATCACTCTGATTAAACAAGCCTCTCTTAGTGTTGACTCCCCGTACCACCTTCCTCGCGTGTGGCGATTTTCACGCGCGCTCGCGTAATTCACTCGTTCCGCAATATCTGAGGGAAAATAAGAGTCCACTTTTAGTCTACTATATTCTTGAACAGACCTAACTAGAATTGAAAAGATCTTATCTTCATAGTTAGCCTTTTCATCGGCTACTTTTACTGAGGTAAGATATCCTTTCGACGAAATTGTCTTGTATACATACTTAGTTGGATTTATAAGCATTCATTTGATGTACAGTAGAACCTCGATAACTGGAACTCGGATAACTCAAATTCCCCGCTAACGCAAACTAAATTTCCTTTCCCTATCACAATTTTGCTGAAATTTACCCCAATAACGCGCACTCCCCGCTAACTTGAACTGTTTTTCTTTTCCCTTCAGAGTTCGAGTAACCGGGATTCTACTGTATTATATTTTTAGGTGACTGCATTTTATCGGAACGCCCTACCCTGCTAACACGTGGGTGAGACGCACCTTAGGTGCTCAGGGATACGTTTTAACTTAAACTAATTACACGTTTTCTCTTTGAAACAGGTGCCATATGATGATGTGGAGGCCAACGCTGTGAGCAGTGGTGCTATTGAAGAGAAAGATGATAAATTGTGAACAGCTTGTCTCTGAATTGGAAACGTTTTTAGCGAAATTATTTTACCACATTCATTTTATCAATTTCTCTTTATCTTCGCTTCTTACGCTTATTTTCTTCTCCTTTTTTACTTTTGTATATTCACGTATGTGAAGGATATATTACGCTGGCGGAAAATATTCAGCCTAGGCAGCAAAAGGGACATGTGGTTATAGACTTGATCTTACGCAAGGGTGGCAAATGATCTTTCATCGGGTTTCCCGCCAAATTGTCGTCAGGCTCACAGAAGACCTTGTCCGTCTTAATGTGGTCTTGAATTTACTGATCATTTTGAATTTATCATCTAAGTGTGTAAAGAGAAATCATGGCTGCTTTTTTATCATTTTATTTATTTTACTTTTGATATTTGCTAGAATTTTTAGCCCCTTTCTGAACGAATCAGAGATAAACTAGCCGTAAACCGTTGGCATGCATGCTTATTTTTCCCGCCTTGGCGCCAGTTTGTGTATTTATGTACTCTGATTGGTTAGTTTAACTGTGTGCGCGTGTTTGATTGGTCAGAATAGTGACAGAATAGTTTCCTGACACCCTCCAGACAAATTAGTGAAGAAGTTTAATTTCTTGCGTTGATATATATGAGGGCAGGTTTGCAAAGTCTTCTTAAAAATGTCGAGAAGGAACTACAAGTCCATCTGTTATCAAGATAAAACATTTAATTCTTAGTCCTTTTTAAAACTTTGGTGATTTCTTTATTCGATAAAGACAGCTTTTTTAAAGCGTTAGTTGGAGGGTAGACGAGATCGCTATTTTTAGAAGAGGCATTCGATATTTTGATTATGGCTTTTCACAGTTAATTGAAGGCAAAAGTACCCGGCCGTTCCTTTGCGCTAAGCGTAGCAAGTTTATACAAATTTGTTTGTGTGATCCTAGTGGCTGTCTTTAATTAGATCAATTAGGAACCAAAGTAGTTAATTATACAAAGTATAAAGAACTGTTTTTGATTCGATAGAGTCACCTACAGCTAGAGTTTACTGAGTTCGATATTGTTAAATATTCTTTTGTAGCACGAATGAGTAAAACAGGCTTAAATTACTATCCATTTGCGACTTAAGACTATGGCTTTGTAACTGAAGAAGCAAATATTTTAGAAAAATTAATAAACTTATGACCTGCTAAAAGAAACGTTGGTTCAATGTTGTTTGCGTTTCTTTACTGCCCTTTTCATAAACATGCGAATTCTGAAGTTCAAAAGCCAACTGACTTTTTCGCTGCCGTCAATCATCTTAACGGACCTCTTAGAAAACAGCACTTTACTTTAACGGGTTCAAAAGGTCATGGTTTGTGATTTGTGATTGGTGGATTTATTCGAAAAAAGCGCAGTAAGCCTCAGTCTTTAATGCACTTGAATATAAGCAAGTTATTACTTGCCAAAGGGCATTCCTAGGTGCATGACCACTGTGTATCGAATAGTTATTCTCGCTCCCTTTAAGGAAATCCAAAACATCTTGGATTCTGAATTTCAAGCGGTGGATTTCAAATTCCCGTTTCTAATAGTTAGCAGGATTCTGTATCCAGTGTTCTGAATTCCATGTTCCAAAGTCCAGCATTTCGGATTCAAAAGAAAAGATTTCCTGATTCCGAATCCGGATTGCTTTAAATGCAACGATCATTCTGACGGCTTAGACCAAGCATTTTCTGTTAGTCATGAGAATCTGAAAATTGTCACTTGGTTTTGGTTTACTCAAGCATGTTAAGGCATTGCCCGTCCTTCAATCTAAGACCCCCTGCAAGGACAAGGTCTTTTGTTCATACAAGCGATGATCTTTTGATTTTTAACCACTACTAAAAAGCGTCTATTGAGGGCAAACAACAGCAGTCATGTGGCTGATGACGTCACGATTAAGGGAAAAGTGACATCTGAAATGTGCCAGTGGCTTTTTATTTTGGCGGCCAAACAAGCAGCTTTATTTTATTTAAGGTATTGATGCATAGATAGAATCCGCGTCCTGAAATGTGTAGAAAAATCTTATTTCACTATTGTAAAACTCACAAAACCGTGAATACCAGAAATATTTATGGAATGTTATTGTGTTGCGAATTGCTGATTTTCAGTGTCACGCCATTCAGGTCAGAGGAATATTTCGTATACGAGATATCTGAAGAAATGTTTTACCCAAACTTATAGAGATTTGTATGGAGACGCCATGCTACTACTCACCTGGATGAGCTCCAACATGGCGGACGGAAACCAACAGAAACATCTGTTACCGTGTTTGGCTACAAAAGCGTGAGTTTATACTTTTTCTAATACATGAACTGTTTAGATAGCAAAATTTCCTGAAATAAGTAATTTTTTAATCTACATGACAGCTCACTTGGCCGTCATGTAAATGCCG